ATGTATATATATATATATATATATATATATATATATATATATATTTATATATATATATATATATATATATATATATATATATATATATATATATATATATATATATATATATATATATATATATATATATATATATATATATATATATATATATATATATATATATATATATATATATATATATATATATATATATATATATATATATATATATATATATATATATATATATATATATATATATATATATATATATATATATATATATATATATATATATATATATATATATATATATATATATATATATATATATATATATATATATATATATATATATATATATATATATATATATATATATATATATATATATATATATATATATATATATATATATATATATATATATATATATATATATATATATATATATTTTTTTTTTTTTTTTACAAAATTCTGTGTAGAAATGACAAAAACAGGCAATATTTCACCCATTATATAATAAATACTGTTTACATTAGGCCATTAGTGATATCATATAAATATTTTCAATAATATGGATATTATTAATATCTGTGTGTACTATGCTATTTCTTTGCAATATTCAAATATGTGTTTGTACATTGGGCTAATATTCATAATTTAACTGTTTATAAATATTTAGGTTTTTCTTTTTTTATTATATTTATTTAATTTGCAACTTTTTACTTTAAAAAATGTATTTGAGCCGCTTTCCCAGTGATGGGTTGCGGCTGGAAGGGCATCCGCTGCGTAAAAACTTGCTGGATAAGTTGGTGGTTCATTCCGCTGTGGCGACCCCAGATTAATAAAGGGACTAAGCCGACAAGAAAATAAATGAATATATTTGAGCCGCTGCTCCTCCACATCCAGAGAAGTCAGCTGAGGTGGCTCGGGCATCTGTTTCGGATGCCTCCTGGATGCCTAGCTTGGGAGGTGTTCCAGGCATGTCCCACAGGGAGGAGGCCTCAGGGAAGACCCAGGACACGCTGGAGGGACTATGTCTCTCTCTGTTGGCCTGGGGACGCCTCTGGATCCCCCGGAGAAGCTGGAGGAAGTGTTTGGGGAGAGGGAAGTCTGGGGTTCTCTCCTGAGACTGCTGCCCCCGCAAACCGGCCTCGGAAAAGTGGATGAAAATGACATGAAAATACGATTTCATTATTTATACATTTAATAAAATGTTTGTATTTTATTTTCATTTCTTTTAACGTTTTTTTGCTCTTTTCTACATGCTGCATATTTTTAAAACTCTTTTGCTATTGAGGGTTATTGTGTGGTTTTGTGACTCGTAATGAGTGAAGTGCTGTTTGTTCTGCAGGAAACTCTCACCTGGCCATCGTGCAGAAGGTGAATAATGAGGGTGAAGGAGATCCGTTCTATGAGGTTCTGGGTTTGGTGACGCTGGAGGACGTGATCGAGGAGATCATCAAGTCAGAGATCCTGGACGAGTCTGACGGATACAGTGAGTGTGTGTGTGTGTGTGCGTGAGATGAAGGTGAAGCGTCTTCTGTATGTGTGTCTAAAGGCTGATTTATACTTCTGCGTCAAACGCCAGCGTATGCTACGGCGCTGACGCATAGCCCTTTGCCGTGGCCGTCGGTGTTGCTAACGTGCACCTCTCAAAAATTGTAACTACACGTCGCAACGACGCGTAGCGCAAGCTCTGTGATTGGTCTGCTTGGTAGCGCTGACGAGTCTGGGCGGGACCGAGAGCCGCGCAAATGGCGCGAGCTGGACGCGAGCCCAAAGGAGCGATTGTTTACAAGTGTGGAGTCCCGTGAAGGAGCTCATGATGGAAAGTTTTGCTTTGTGTTTACCTCATAGTTAAAGTTGTTGCACGTCCGCCGGTTCCTGCCTCAAAATGAGCGAGTTTGAGCCACTTGTACATCCCGGAAGTGTTCAGGAAAAGCAAAACAGCAGTGAAGAAACTCGACACAGAGGAACATTAACACCTCACTGCCCACTAGCGTTTTGGAAGTGTTAATGCAGACCAACAGAGACAGCAGCAGAAGTATAAATGCACAGCTACGCGCGTTGCCTGCGCCGTGGGTCACGCCAATCACTTGACGCAGAAGTATAAATCAGGCTTAAGTGTGTGTGTCCATTATATCTAATGGCCCGTTTCCATTGAGTGGTACGGTTCGGTTTGGTTAGGTCAAACTAAAATGCTTCATTAAGAAAGACTCTAAACAAATGTCCAAATAGTGTGTATGCCAAAGTATGCTAATAGGACTTTTAATTTGCCAGTTACCTGGGTTAAGCACTTCCGGCGAACTGTATGCGAAATCAGCACGTTTAAGGTCTGTTTTCTTTAAAAGTCAGCGATCTCCACTGGCTGAGTGATATCTGATATAAAGTGGGTCTCAGATTGTTTAAGAAGCACTGCATTACATTACATTCCCCGCCATGTCTTTATAATATGAGCATTTATTTTAATCCAGTATATTCAATGGAGCTTCTGCGCTAGCATGCGATTCTGACGTGTGAGTAAACGGCTTATTGTCTCGTTTTACACTTGAGCAACTAAATGAATGCCAAAGTCTGTTTAACTGATTGTATTTTAAAGACATTACAACATAGATGCTGTGAAAGGAACTGTATAAAATGGAAAAAAACTCACAATAACAGCTCACCTGAATTATATCAGTATAGGAAAAACGCAAGGCAAGGCAAGTTTATTTATATAGCACATTTCATACACAGTGGCAATTCAAAGTGCTTTACATAAACAAGAATAAAAGAAACAAGTAAAAAAATAAATAAATAAAAACAAATAATAAAACTCATTAAAAAACATAAAAACAGGTAAAATGTGATATAAAAGAATGAAGAAGAAGAGAAAAACATAATAGTGCAATCTGTCGGACGCAGCACAGTGCTCATTCAGTAAAGGCACAGCTAAACAGATGTGTTTTCAGTCTTGATTTGAATGTGCCTAATGTTGGAGCACATCTGATCATTTCTGGAAGCTGATTCCAGCAGCGAGGGGCGTAGTGGCTAAAAGCTGATTCACCCTGCTTTGACTGAACTCTTGGAACTTCTAGTTTATATGATCCTAAAGATCTGAGTGATCTGTTAGGTTTGTATTGAGTGAGCATATCTGTGATGTATTGAGGTCCTTGGCCATTTAGTGATTTATAGACCAGTAATAATAGTCTTCACTGGAAACAAAGCATCTGATTCTTGCTATGTTTTTGAGATGATAGTATGCTGATTTACTGACTGCTTTGACATGACTGTTGAAACTCAGATCTGACTCCAGAGTCACACCAAGATTCTTGACCTTATTTTTTGTTGTTTGACCTTTAGTAACAAGCTATGCAATGACTTCAGTTTTCTCTTTGTTTAACTGAAGAAAGTTTTGGCACATCCAACTGTTAATTTCATCAATGCATTGGCAGAGGGTGTCAATGGGGCTGTAGTCATTAGGCAGTAAGGCTAGGTAGATCTGAGTGTCATCAGCATAGCTGTGGTAGGAGATTTCTCAACTCTAGCTCGCCATATTCCCTAAACTGCTGTGTGTCTGCAATAATAGGCCGTCTTCATGTGTGGAAAAGACGATGCCGTCTCTATCCTTAATTTTCAGATGTTCCATTGTGTGTTTGTTTGTTTACTTCTCTGTGCTGAGCTGATCTGAGTGTTTTAATCTTGTCCTGTAAATGAGATTCAGTGATTGTTTATCTGCACATTGATGTACGGTGACACATGATGGGCTGTTGATCAATATTTGGATGCTGTGCTGCTTTAATGAGTATTAGCCATATCAAATCAAATAATCAAATGTGTGTGTGTTCCTTATGTCTGATCCGTCAATGTGTGTGTGTGTGTGTGTGTGTGTGTGTGTGTGTGTGTGTGTGCAGTGGAGATGAAGGTGAAGCGTCCGCCGCCGCTGGAGATCTCTCTGGAGCAGCGCAGTGTTCATGATGACTTCTCCATCTTCAGGCCTCCAGAAGGGGACAGCAAGATCCGCACGTCTCCACAGCTGCTTCTCGCCACACACCGCTTCCTGTCCAGAGGTCAGAGGTCACGCGCACTCAATAACACACCTTCTCAATCCATCCACATGCCAGCTACACACGCTTGGTGCTGTTTTTGCTCCATTGACCTCCATTATAATCACATTTATTGATTGTAAAGCCATGACATCATGCGTTCTTGACTGCTGCTGGGATTAAGAGGGAGAGAGAGGCTTACTTTGAGTTTCTCAGACATATTAGTGTGCAGAGATCACACACACACACACACACACACACTAACTCCATATAATAGCCAGAAACAGCTATTTTTCTTGCACTGCAACTGATGATCAACAGTAAAAGACGGATTTTAATGACATGAGTGAGTGTAAATGTTAATGCTGTGCTCTGCTGAATGGTGTGTGTGTGTGTGTGTGTGTTGTGTGTCAGAGGTGGAGCACTTCAATCCTCAGCGCGTCTCTGAGCGAGTGTTGTTTCACCTGCTGCGGCACCCCAGCGTCAACCAGGAGGTCAAGTTTGACCCCGCAAACAGACTGAGCGCAGAACACTACCTGTACACCAGAAACCACCCGGTAGACTACTTCATACTGCTGCTGCAGGTAACACACACACACACAGTCATTGAGACACACACTCACACAAACACACACACACTTTCCTGAAGATCATACTGCTCAAACACTTAAAAATTATTATAATAATAATGGTGTG